TATATATATCTGCTCCTTCAGAGACAGAAACGCACTTAATGCGAAGTGTGAAAACGTGAACTGAAAGCCTTGCTTTGATGTTATCCTGCACACGAGTCACTTCTCAAATGGCGGACGTTGTGATCAAAGAATCGATGTTAAAACGTATAGCAGCTGCTGTTTGCACTATATAAAGAGAGAACAAACAGCTCAAAACACATGCACCCAACGCCTAAATCAAAGTATTAGATGTATGCACCGAAAAGGTTTCCTAAGACTCAAATAGCTTCATCTTCACTTCAAAAATTTTCCAACTGCAATGCTATGAAGCGTGAAGTTATCTCTGAAACAATGCATTGGAATTATAGTGAGAAAATATTTGAAATGCTTTATTTAATGGCAGGGAGACATTTAGGATGGCACTGCACAGAGGAGATGATTTAGTGGTTCAATAGAGATGCAGAGGCATAAAAGATTAACTTTTTATTGCAAACAACCTGCTGGTCTCCAAAAACCTGTTTGATGTCAATAAAAGTTCTGTTTTGCTGCCAAAATGTGGCAGAAAATGATGAAATGACTGACTCTGGAGTTAATAATTACACCGAATTTAAAAAAAAGAAGTAAATTGATGACCTTAGGGCTACACCACTTTAAACATCAACGGTATTTGATAAAACTTCATCAGAGTTTTTTTTTGTTTGTTTTTAAACGCTCAAAATTGTAGTGTAAAAAGTGCAACTATAGTTGACAAAGCAGTATGTTGGTGGTGTAGAGGTGCAGAAGTGATAAATTATTTGTGGGCTGATGCGGAGCATGCCATTCTCTTTTATCTCAGTGTTTATGAAAAAAACCTGATGTTCAGACTGTCTTCCTTCCTTTCGTGATCACATTTAGTTCCCACATCTGTAGGTGTTAAGATTAAGAAACTATTTAAAAAGTCAAAGCAGAGAAATTAAGAGCCACGTAAATCAACACAAAATTAAAAAAAAACAAAAAAAAACAGAACAAGTGTTTTCCTAGTAAAAAATAAAACTAAACTAAAAATTAGAACTCCTTTTTAACCCTGACAAAAAAATAAAGCTTTATTTCGAGGTATACTATCAACACGAGCGATCTGCAACTAAAGCGCAGCAGTATCTTGAGGCACTCCTTCCATTTATGACAACAGAACAAAGTCTGAATCTGCCTCAGTCATTCATATACACATGCACGAACAAACACACGTACTTGCACTCTAGGAATTATATAACCTGAGAAGTGGATAACTGAGGGAATGACGTTGCATCTGCACCTGTAGCAAACCTGCACTTAGACAAAGTCCCGCGTGTACAGATTACTGGACGAATTGAACAAAAACATGGCTCTCAATGAAACTGATTCGAGTTGTATGAGATTTCTGAGAAAACTTTCTAGAGTTGTCAAGCTCACAAAACTCATTATAGCCACTTATGTGACAACTAAGCAGGTTATTTCAATAAAATGTAGCATTATTGCATTAATCTGATGGAGCTTTGATCAACACAGAGGCAACAATTCTTGTTAACATCCATGATTTCTCAACCAGATATTTATCATGACTTGTCTTGCTTTGATATTGCCATGTTTAATTAGTGATGGCAATTTAACCACTGATAAGTTGTGGAGATAAAACCTGTCATATCAGTCTGATAATAACAATCATGATTTGATGAGTAATTTTGCTATAACTCCATAAATACATGTCTAACTATATTAGCGCTTTATAGCTGATGTACTGACATGTTGCCTATTTGACTGAGTTATTGATTTCCAACACTCTACAAAGTTTATAAGAAGCCTTAAATACTACACTACTATTTCTTTACTAATACTGAAAGAATGTTGAACTAAATATTAAAATAAATCTTGACATTTCAAGCTTAACACTGAACTTTTTAAATAATACATATTAGCATTTCATTGTTACGCTCTGCAAAACACAAACCAATAACATTAATCTAAAATTTAAATATATATGTAAAAACAGTAGATGTAAAAGATCAAAGTATAGTAAATTGTACTAGATGCAGGTGTTGAAAATATTAGTGGTCTTGAGGAAAACATAATAAGAACTCCAAGTACAGTATAGATAATGTAAAAATAAACCTGATAATATCTTTATTACAGCAACGAAAATGCAGTTCACTTTCCATAATGAGGAAAGGCTTCTATCAACAATATCATCATTACTGCTGTAGGTACTTAAAGATAAAATATACACATCAGCTTTCATCACTGTTGTCAGACATGGAAGATGGCTGTCATAAAAAATAAGGCACTTTTTATTTCCATTTAGCGTAATTATTATATTATAGTATAACAACAGAGTACTTAACAGTTCACGTTAGCTACTTAAAGCAACAAACCTCAGAAAAGTGTCACAGAGTTTCTGTCTACATTATTGCTGAGTCACAACTATTAATTTGAAGTCAGCTCAAAAGCATCAAACTTCCTGAGTGTTCAGAAGAACCTATATTATAACACATTAAAATAATATATATATATATATATATATATATATATATATATATATATATATATATATATATATATATGACACTTTGACTCAGACTCACCCTGAGGTATAAATAAAATCTGCTCAGCACAATCCTGAGGAAGTCAGGTCCAAACCCTGACCTGCACTTACCTGAGAAGCTGTGAGCACTTTGATGGGTAAAATCTCTGCCTGGTGTTTGCATGTCAAACTCAGACTGACTGAGGCTGAGAGGCTCAGGACCAACACCCGACTACAGCCCCGTACCCCCCCCCCCCCCCCCCTCCTCTATCACCACCCACTACCTGCACGAGACTGTTGTCACTCCAAGCGTCCACTTGACGTCCGTCA